AAAAGTTATTCAATAACATAATGCCAAATATAATACGCTGCAAGAATCCATAGAGAGACAGCAATCAGAAATCCAGAAGATTAACAATAAAATTTCAGAATGAGACGACTCAATAGAAAGCCAGAGGAGCAGAATTGAGGCAGTAGAAGTTAGAATTAGTGACACTGAAGATAAAGCTCTTGACGCCAAGTTATTTGAGGAAAAATCAGATAAAAGAATTAAAAAGAACGAAGAAACTCTAAGAGTCATGTGGGACTCTATCAAGAGAAATAACCTACGAGTGTTTGCAGTAGCAGAACGGGGGCGGGGGAGGGGGATAACAGAAAATACAGAGAAATTTGTTGAAGATTTGTTGACAGAAAACTTCCCTGATATCGTGAAAGATGAGAAGATATCTATCCAAGATACTCATCGAACCCCACATAAGGTAGATCCCAAAAGAAAGTCCCCAAGACATATTATAATCAAACTTACCAAAACCAAAGATAAAGGGAGAATTTTAAGAGCAGCTAGGGATAAAAGAAAAGTCATCTACAAAGAAGAGTCAATTAGAAGAAGCTTGGACTACTCAGCAGAAACCATGCAGGCAAGAAGGCAACGGGATCACATATATAAAGCCTTGAAGGAAAACAACTGCCAGCCAAGAATTATATATCCAGCAAAACTGTCTCTCAAATATGATGGCGAAATTAGGGCATTTCCAGATAAACAGAAGTTTAGGGAATTTGCAAAACCCAAACCAAAATTATAAGAAATACTAAAGGGAGTCCTACAGTTAGATAATCAATAACACCAGCTAACAACGCAAGACTAAAACACAGGACAGAGCAACCAGATATTGACTCAGATAGGGAAGTTGAAAATACATCAAAGCTAAAACACTGAAAATAGGGAAACAGAGATATCAACATGTAAAAAAGGGCAACATTAAAACAAAAAAGAGGGACTTAAAAAATGGAGACATTGATTTTTCATATGGAGGGGAAGTTAGGCAATATAAAGTAATAAAAGACTGGTGTAAACTTAGAAAAATAGGGGTAAATATTAAGGTAACCACAAAGGAATCTAACAATCCTACAAATCAAAATAAAAAAGTAGAAAAACATAAAGACCCAGAAAACAGAAAATCTACAATAATGAAAAAGATGAAACAAAATACATAAAGAAAAAGGACTCAGCACAGAAAATTAAGGGGACCAAAGAAAGTGTGAACAACACACAAAAAGAGATATCAGGATGACAGCACTAAACTCATACCTATCAATAATTATGCTGAATGTAAACAGACTTACTGCACAATAAAGAGATGGAGAGTGGCAGATTGGATAAAAAAGCATGATCCATCTATATGCTGCCTACAAGAGAGACACCTTAGACTTAAAGACACAAACAGGCTAAAACTCAAAGGATGTAAAAAAATATATCAAGCAAACAACACAAAAAAGAGCAGGAGTGGCAATATTAATCTCAAACAAAATAGACTTTAAAGTAAAATCCACCACAAAGGATAAGGAAGGGCACTATATAATGATTAAAGGGTCAATACACCAGGAGGACATAACTATTATAAATATTTACACACCCAACAACAGGGCTCAAAAATACATAAACTCTAACAGCACTGTAAAGAGAGATAAACAGCTCCACAATAGTAGTAGGAGACTTCAACACGCCACTTTCGGTGAAGGACAGAACATCCAGAAAGAAGCTCAACAAAGACACAGAAGAGCTTAATGCTAAAATCAACCAACTTGATCTCATAGACATATACCGAACACTCCACACAACAGCAGCCAAGTACACTTTCTTTTCCAA